CAGGCAAATGCCAATCAGGTAAAATAATAAAAAATAAATTAAATTATGTATTTTGCTTTGAAAATCAAGGAACTTTTTTTTTTGCCCTTCAAAGTTCTTAAGTCAACGTGGGTTAATTAAGTTTAATTGAGACAAAATTAGGTGAAGGCCATAGCGTGAAGTCAAAACACAATATTTTCCAGTTTATAGAATCACTCCCTTTTTTGGAAAATGATAAAATGGAAAATATGGAAAAGAAATAGTATTATTCTTTTCGCAAGTCTTCAAGCCAAAATAAGAAAAAATTATAAAAATGACAGTGTTTTTTCCTTTAATTTTTGTTTTAAATTTAAAAAATGACGAATAAATAAAAAATAAGAAAATGATAAAATGATAAAATAGTTTGTAAAGAGTATAATAAGACTTTTCATAATATATATATATATATATATATATATATATATATATATATATATATATATATAAATGATATTCTTTAATATTTTATATTAACGTGAAATGTTTATATGATTGATGAATATTTATGATAATTTGCAGAAATTTTAAATAGCATTTGCTAACCAATTGAATTATTATTTAAAATAATTAGTGTATTAGTTTATTATATCGCATATATTTAAAAATAATATAATCGAATATCATTAATAATAATTTACTAACTTTATTTTTTTAAAAATATATAAGTTTTTAAATGAAAAGGAAAATAATTAAGATTATATTATTTAAAACATGTATATTGTTTACTTATCGAGTGGATTTGTATCAACTGTAAATTCATATAACAAATTAAAAAAAAAATCAGTATAAAAATTATAAAATGTTAAAATTAGATTTTGAATAAATTAAATGTTATATTCAAATTATATTTCAAATATGTTAAGTGTAAGTAGTTAAATCAACAATTATTATTACGTAACTATCACATAATTGCATTGGCTGTCAACTTGGATATCTCATTTACATGCCACATAGGAGATTTGCACAGTGCACATTTATTAGTTCGCATCAAATTAATTAAAATTTTGAATTATTGATTGGAGAAACAAGAAAATCAAATTTGTGTAGAAAGACATTAGATTTGATTTGAATTAAAGCCTTATCTTACATTTAAGAACTTAGCTCATGATGTGATCTATTGAGGTTAGTTTGAATTAATGAGACCTAAAATCATTTTCAAACACTTGGGGTTTCATATAAAAGTAAAAGAAGAATGTGATGGATGAATGAAAGAAATGGCATTGTGGTAAATATTTTATGAAACAAAACTATGATCATAATTCCCTATTCAATTTTCAACGTAAGACTCAACACACCACCACCCTTCTTCAACTTCCCATACTTTTTCAATCTCATGGTCTCCATTGAGAGTGACATTTGTTTGTATACTGCACCATACTTCTCCTCAAATGCCCTTCGTACCATCCCACTTTTATTCAAACACAACCTTTACAATATACATCAATTTTGGCTATGGTTTGACCCATTTGAAGGAGTCAATACAAAATAAAAATAATTTGGTTTTATAGTCACTTACGCAAATCAGTTAAATTGAATAGAACAATCGTTGTGAAGCTTCAAGTTATAGAACTATGTATGGGGGGTTAAAAGCAAGAGCTTGAGATGCAAAGGGTCTTTGCGGAATGGGTGGAAGCTGTTGAGTTATATGATTACCAATAAAGTTCTCACCTACAATCCATCAATATGATAAACAAAAGAGTGATTTCCCCAATCATGTAAGAACATCATTATCAACACAACAACAACAACAACAACAAAACGCTAAAATTTACAAGTATTTTGAATATGCCAAAAGATGTTCTTGGCATTTAGAACGAAACAGCATAAGATAAATTATCTGCAACCTCAAAACGAAAAAAAAAAAAATAAGACACAAAATCTTGGCTTCTGCACCACTTTCTTTCTCCTTTTCATTACAAGAGGTGGGTCGGTGTGGGTTATCAATCCACCAGCTGGTGAACTGTGAAATTGAATTAGTAACCAATAATGTCCAAAAAGCATAATCTCAATCACGTCACCAAATAATTCTTTTAATAAAGAATAAAAAGATACATCTAATCTTGTATTTTAATATATTAAAATACTTAATAATTAGGAAGTTAATTAAAAATATTTAGAAGACTACAAAATGAATCTTCTTGCATAATAATGAGAATCATACAACGTTCCCACTTTTTTTTAACCCAAGGTATCTATGAGTAAGAAGAATCTATACTAGACTTTTAACATATTAAAACTCATTTAAAAAATTAACCTTTTTAACATACGTTTTTCTATTGAGACGGATTTTATAAACACAATTTTGAATCACTTACCAAAACAGAACAACGCAAACAAAATTATTTATGAAGAATGTAATATGATAGCATGATCGTGGAGCCAAAGTGTTCATTAATACCCCATTAAAAATTAGCCTACTTAGGTGACTTAGTTATAAAACATTTAGATAGAGTGATAAGCGAAATGAGAAATGTAGTTTTAGAAGAGAGGAGGTGTGATGGATGTATTAAAAGGGCGCTACCTAAAAACAGGGGACCATTGAAAGGAAGGAAGAGACAATGAAGAGCGTGATGAAGACATCATGTGAGCTTTAAATAAACCCATATATTTATCCATCATCTTCCCGTACATAATATGTATCAGTTGCCAACCAGCAAGTTCAACTAATCTTCTGCCATCACTCCACTCAAATTGCCATTCAAGTTGCGTGCGTAACACCCACTCTTTTTAAATACCCAATTAATAATTCTATACAACTTCATATTACTTTTAAATACCTTCTAACAGTTGTGTCCCCCCATAACACACAAAATAAAGAAAAAAAGAGGAAACTGTTATAACAGCTAAGCTAAGCAAACTAGGCCTTAACTAAGCTACCTCCACTAAGCTAATTCGGTAAACTTCTTTTCTTAATCAAACATTATTAAAAATGTTACCTTAACTCCACGTTTCGTCGTAATATTTTTTTCTTCGTTAAATATATTAAATCTATTTTTTCTATCGTAAATGATCAAGTTTAATAAAAAAAACTACTACCAAAACATTTGAACTAATACACAATCAAAATTTTGATGCTATCAATACTATCTTTGTTTTGTAATAGACAAAATATATATACTACTCACGACATAATATAAAGCACTATCACCTCGTTCTTTTCAAGTTTAAACTTGTTATTTTTCTTATATTAATTCTTTTTTTTATTTACTACAACGAGCTTCAACGATTTTCTTCTTTAGTTATGAGTATGTACACGTGTTAACTCAATCAAATCAGATTACGAACAGTATCATACAATTTACTTATTTATTTCCAAAAAATGAATATTCTGCTCTTGTCTGATAACTTCCCTCAGCTTATACTGGCCGGTAGCAACTTTTAGGTGGTATGAATAGCTATCTGAACTGTTAACAAACTCAATTAAATGGACTCAATTCAGCACCAAATCAGAGTATGAACCGAATATTTGAAAAGTTCTAGTCGGGTTTATTTAAAAACAAGCCAAGATTTTCGGCTCCACCTTCCTTCCTTAGCTTGAGTTTTGATTGAACAGTTTACAAGTTCACCGACAAGTAACTTGCAAACCAATTTGACTCGCTTCAGCCCCACCAGAACCTTCAAACGACAAAAAGTAAGTGCAGGAACAAGTATTGCATTTGGCATGATTGACATCATCCAGAAGTTATTTAAAATTACAGAAGCAAAGTACATTGCTCATTTAACTTGAGAAAAATATATCACAAAGGCAAACCAAACTGATACCTAGAAATATTCACAGAGATCTGATAAGGGCAGACGACTACAAACTTAAAGCTCTTACATCATCATCTTAGTTGCAGGTGTGCACTCTTACAAGCATTGCCTCAAATTATAAAAACCAGCAGATGCATTCAGTTTTCAGTTTAAGCATGATAGGTGAATGATTTTGCAGTCCCTTCTATAACTACTCAAGTGTGGACCACAGTTTCTGAACCCAGAAAGAGCAAGTTTCCTGCGACCAAGCTGCTTCCACTTCATGTCCGCCCAAAGAAAATTTGAGTTTCCTGATTCCTTCCTTCTATAAAGAACCTGAGGTTTCACCCCCTTTTAAATGATTCTGCAATCCCTGAAATTTCCATTTGAAACAAATATTTAAGAGTTCTTAGCTTTCAGAAAGTAAACAATGATATGATAAAACACTGAAGTAAAAGAATCTCATCAGGTAAACAAGGAAAGAATCAGAACATAGACACTGAACAATAGAGATGAAATTTTAGCGACACTTGTCCAGTCCAAGGCAAATACGGGTAAGCTAGCTGGGAGAAGTACATGGGGCAAAAGGCATTTTATACACCCTCCATTTCAATCGATCCAAATTCCAAAACGATTAGTAATACGTATATCACAGACATAAACAATCAGGTAGCAAGTACAAAAACAATTAACATTAAAAAACTTAAGTGGAAGAAACCACGAAGAGCCCTTGATTCGAAACTATCATAGAAGACAAAAAAGAAGAAAATCAGGTCTTGCTTGATATGATTTATTGCGCATCCAAATTGAGTTTAAAAACCAAAAAGAAAACTTAGATAAGTTTCTGAAGAGTTTATGGTGTTGTTCTCCCATTCCAATGAGATTCACCTCGGTAATCTAATAGTAAAGGCTAACATTAAACATTAATGTAGATTACCGAGATGAAACTACAATTTTTATCAGAGAATTGACCAAAAAGCACCTAGGAAAATGCATGTAAGTTTTACCCAATCCAAAAACAAAATGTTATCACATATCCTTCTCCGCTTTAGGTGTCCTCTGTTCAAGTATTCAGGAGACAATCTTTCAGAAAAGGTCATAGTCCACAGGAAACAAACACATACAAAATGTGGTTAGAAGACAAACAAATTTTAGAAAACATAACGCAAACAAGGCCATAGATCCTAAAACAAAGTGAACTCAACAAATCCACATATATCTGAACAATTAAGTTCAGTACCTGAAACATATCAGAACGAGTTCATCTCAAGGCAATAAGTCCTCCTCTTGACAAGCATTGTAGCAGCGGTCCTATAAGGCTCCTCAAACGCCGTGGAAACCCAAGACAAATCGGAAGCCTCCTTCTTGGCAGCGTTGGGAGATTGTTCACTGGGCCTAATGGCAACAAGCGTGGCACCCTTCAACACAACCCCATCGGGCAACTCCAGGTGCGGCGCGTACCACAGCCTCATGTTGAGCGCCGGAACGAGAGTCCTCTTCGACGCCGAAGACGCCGAAAGGGGCTTCACCCTCAGCTCCTCAAGCTGGTCCCGATTCATGTACAACACTCCCTGCCCATCAGCGTCGGTCAAGACTAAATTGTCAAGTGTCCCATGCTCTGAAATTATCGGCTGCAGAAGATAATGCCTAGCGGAGGCGGCGATCAGGGAGCTTATGGTCCAAACCACGCGTAGTTTGAGGCCGCCGTTGGTGTAGAATGAGTCGGGTATGCTTCCATTGTCGTCGGTGCAATTAGTTGTGGTGGCGGTGGAGGCGTTGTCGGTGAGGTCTTTGGGGTGGAATACAGAGGAGGCCCCGAGGATGACGCAATTGTCAAGGGTTGATCCGAAATCGGCGCGCCACTTGAGGAGGACGCCGTCTTCGATGCCGAGCTCGCCGCTGGGGAGCTCGATCCGGAGGAAGCGAATCTCGTTGAAATTTTTGAGGACCTGAGTAGGGGAGTGGTGGGTGACGCCGGCGTCGGAGTCATCGTCAGTTCCGACGGCGAGGGAGGAGGAAGGGGATGGGGAGGAGGAAGAGGAGGAGGGGCGTTTAGGACCGAGGAACTGGCCGATGGTTTGGATGGGCTTGACGATGCCGCCAAAGACGAGGCGGAGGAGGTTCCAGAAGGGGCCGCGGGACTTGTCGGAGGCGGCGGCGGAGGAAGAGGAGTCATCGTCGGATATGACGCAGTCTACGCGGACGACGACGTTCTCGACCTGGGGGACAAGAGAGTGGAAGCGGCGCGAAACAACGCAGCAGCGGCCTAGGGCTTTGACGTCGCCGATCTTGTTGAAAACGAGGAGGAGGAGGGAGTCAGGGAGGCGGTCGAAGTGGTCGATTTCGGAGCCATCGGGTTCCGGGAAGATCCGGCACGCTAGATCTGCGCGCTGAGTGGACATTCTACAGAGAGAGGAAAAAATTGGGGAAATTAATTTCCCTGATCGGATCGCAAGGGTTTCGAATTTAGGGGTTTCTTTCAGGCAGATCTATGAAAGGCTGAAGCGTATTCACGGAAAGAGAGAGATAGAAAGAGAGAGCGAGAGAGAGAGAGAGATGGGAAGCGTTGCAGAATGAAAATGGTGGGTTGTGGAGACACACATCCACGGTTTTGGTTTTGGTTTTGGTTTTGTCTTTACATATTCGAGCGAGAAAGAGAGAATGAGAGAAAGATAGAGAGAGGGTAAAGATGCCAGAGAGATATTATGCGCGTCGAGGAAAAAGGTGGATCAGTGGTAGAGAGTGTGATTGTGTTTGTGTTTGTGTGTGTGTCATTTGATGATTCTTCTTCCCTTCTCCCTTTTTATTATTATTATTATTATTATTATTATTATTTTTGTGTTTGTTTTCTCATCTTATGTTCAGCACCTCTAACTTCACTCTGTTCAAATTATTATCTACTCTCCTAATTACTCTCTAACAACTCCTATTTCCCTTCTTTTATCTCTTCATCAATTTTTTTCTTCTTTTACTGAAAAATTTAGTCATTCTCCCCAATATTTCCCTATATATCCACTCTCACTCTCCATGAATGAATTCGGTTTAGGGACCCTATTCATACCTCCCTTTTCATTTTCTTTTTCAATTTTTTAAATAAATTCTTCTTTTATTATTTAAATATGATTGTTAAATAAATAATTTTATATTTTAAATTATAAGGTGCTGCTGTCTTTTTTTACCCATCTTTCTTTTGTTTAAAATTTAATATTACATGCATTATTTTGAATATTATAATACTAAATTGAATAAAATAATGATTAACCTAATGGATTTGCGTAATAGTTTAGCACTTTAGGTTAACAATTTATTCTTGTTATTTGCAAAAATCTATCTATCTATCTAACCGTAAACAGAATACCATGAATGATATTAATTTCCAGTTCAATAAACTTTGAAAAAAAAATTGAAACAAAGACAAAAGTAAATAAAAAGGGAAATGTTTCATATTGATAATATTATGTTTTATTACACTAAATGAAACAGAAAGCAATTACAAGTTAAATTACTGTATTGTTTATGACACTATAATGATGTTGAAATATCAATTTATTTTTATGAAAATTGTATGTTTTTTAATTTTTATTGTACTTATATTAATTAAATAATTAAAAAAAATATTTTTATTAGAATACAATAAACATTTATTTCACAGATACAGAATTTTTAACAAATTATTTATTAAATAATTATAATTTAAATAATAAAAATGATATAATTTGAAAATAATCTAAATTAAATTAAAAACTATTTAGAATTGGGATGTACGAGAGATCAAAAACCAGTTAAAAAGATGCGAGGTGGGTGTGGATAGTGGTCCTCCGAACCGGAATTCATAATTGTAATGAAATTTTGATATTTTTGTTATTATAATAATTATGTTAATACAATAATATTGAGGAGAATAAAAAAAGAAATAGAAAAGTATATATCTTTCTTTTTTTTTTCGGTTTTTTGCTTGTTGCTAAACTTTTATTCTTTCACTATATTACATTAAATAAATATTTAAACTATACAAATTATATTTTTTTATTTATAATAAATAATAATATAAAATCATTTAAAATTGAAATTGGCAGCTTGTTAAAAAAAGTGCAACAACTACTTGAAAATAAATTAAGATAAATTCTAAAAAAATATTTACACAAATCATTATATATTTATAATTTTATTTTATTTTTCTTTATTTTTTTATATTCTATTGTTTTGTTAAGATCTAAGCCAATCCTATAGAATATTTTTATCTTTTCATTATCAGGAGTATTGTAGTATAGTATGTTTAATTTATTGATTAGATTTTTTTTAACAATATTTGACTTCTTATAGATATGAAAGTTTGTAAGGTTTTTCTTAGTAAAATAAATTGAAAAGTAAAATAAACTAGTTTTTATTTCCAATGTATTCAGGATAAAACTATGAAGTTGATTTTGTCACATTTTTTAAAATTATAGGAAAACTAAATTCTTCATTTATATGGTTTTATATAGTTATAATTGAATATAAATATTTGTTGATTTTAAAGAAGTGGTGTGTTTAAGGAAGCCTAAATGTAGCATGTTATGAAAAAGAAAATATACTGTAGATTTTTAAGAATATGTGATTGGTGTCTAAAATTTGTTTTTATGTTTCTGTAAATTTTGTTATATATGTATATTTTACTCAAGTGATAGTTTGTGGTTTGAAGATATATGTAACAAAGATAAGAGTTAATTTCTAAAGTCTTTTATTTAAAAAAAAAACACCCTTTTTTTAAATGATAAAACTTCCAAAAGAAAAAATATTGTATTGAATTTAGTTGTGTTTAATACAAAAAATGTTTTATTCAAGCATGAAACTTCCAATAGGATTAGACCAAATTCTATTATGATTTCGCTCAAAGCCAAATTACTCAAAAGATTAATGAAATTTTCAAAGGAATTTGCTCAAATAAAAATTTATAAATTAAAAGACTTAAAATTTAAATTAATTAGAAGTACGATGCGATTCTTTTGATTTGTTTTAAATGTATGACATATGGTATAAAAATGATGTATTATGAATGTTGAATAAAATTTAAAAAACACTATTTTATACAATGTATTGTAATAAGAGAAATATAATTGGAGTATCGATGTACATGAATATTGAACTTGAAATTTAATGAAATATTTTAATTTTATTGATTATTGGAATGATGTAAATACGTTTGGTTGATTTGGATTAATAATAGTGAGCTGGTTTTGAATTTAATCAAAAGAAGTTAGTCTCATGAACGTGGTTCCAACACACCGTTTTTGAGGTATATTATATTCGTCTCCGTGCTTAAGGCATCTCTATTTTGACGATGTAGAAAACAAAATTGATGGCAGTTGTAACTTAGTGTATTTTTATGGCCTAAAACTATTGCTATGATGAAGCATAGAAAATGCTTATATTTTGTATCCCATTGAGGAATCAGAAACCATGTGCACTTAGCATTATATTGTTCTCACAATTTAGATTTGGATCCAAGAAATGAATAACTAAACCACAACACGCGCGCACGATCTGGCATGTGTGCATTCATGGCATATACTTTGTGAACACTCTAAGTTTCACGATGATTGAGATTACAGTTTCCGTACTTGTATTGCATGAAAGTACAGACACAAACCATGTAAGATATATAAAACCCTATTTTATCCGCTTTGACATTGAAATTATGGTCAATCCTTCTTTTCACATTATATTAGTTGCATCAATAAATCAACAGTGTTTGGGTTGGGCTGGTTAAAATTTTTAATTTTTTAATTTGGCTGTTTTTTTTAAATCAAAAATGTTTTTTTTAGCTACTCACTCAAAGTGTAAATGGAAAATATATATTACAAAGTATATAACATTTTAATAATTGAATCGAAAGGAAAATATTTTTATAAATATTTTAAGAAGTAAAAATAAATAAATAAAGTAAATGTACCACTGCAAATACACATATTGTATATCTTTTTAAAATATATAATTTTACTTTAACTTCAAATAATTTTATTTTAATTTTTTTAATATTTTATATTATATTTATTTTAATACTCTTACAACATATAATACAAATAAAATTCTTCAATGAAAAAGTGATTAAAAATGTGAAAAAAAAATACCATTCTTTTAAGTATATACTAAAACTTATATATTTTTTAGGATTAGCTAATATTTATATGGTTATGTTAAAGAGAAATATCATACATAAGATAAATAATTAATATTTCATATCATGAATACAGAGTAAATATACGTAACAACAACTCATCTTCTACCAATGTCAATAAAATTTAAACTGTTATTTCAAAAAATTAAATTGTTTATGTGTGATTATTATATTAGTTCCTCAATTTCTATAAAATATGCGATTTTGATTTATAATTTTTTAGGTAATTTTGAATCTTATTTATTTATAGATTATTTAATTTTCAGTTTCAAAAAGTTTATGGTTATACTCGAGATCAATTAAGTGAATGAAAAAAATAATAGATATTTTTATTTATTATTTCATATTTCAAAAATATTGAATTAAATATAGTTTAGATTCATTTTTAATGATTAATTTTGACCTTTTTAAAATAGTATTATTTTAATAAAAATATTCAAAATAGATCCAAACTTACTTTATCCACCAAAATATATGATTATTGAGAACTAACATTCGAATAGAGACACGCCAACGTAATACGGTTTAAATTTTGGTTCCACAGATATCTAAGTCCGAAATGAAAACTTTTTTTTCATTTTTGACGTATATATATATATATATATATATATATATATATATATATATATATATAATCATTATTAAATATATTAATTCAGTTTAAAAAAGATACTTATTTGTATAAACATAATTTGTTTCGTTAATTATTATTTTTTGTTTTTTTCAGCGTCATTACCATAGAAGTGTAAAAAAATACTATTCGTCCGATAACCTAACTAATAAATTCATATCGATGTGATTCAATAATATGTTAAGGTAATAGATATTTTCGTACATTTAAAAAAAATTAAAAAAATACAAAAAAAATATATATGTATATATATATTTTAAAAAATATAAGTTGTATTAATTAATAAATTAACTTTAAATAATTTAATATATGAATTATTATATAAATATGTGTTTTAATAAAATAATTTTTATTTTATTTTAAAATAAATGTTATTTTTTTAAAATTAACTAATCCATGCATGAATTACTTTGAACCTTGTCTCATCTAATATTTTCCTTGGAAAAAGAAAGAGATACCCATAAAAAGTAAAAAAATTGTTTGATTATGTAAATTCTATTTTGGACAAATATTTTTATGAGTAGAAATTTTAAAAATGAAATTATTTAAAAGATTAAAGTTAACTTATTTTTCTATTAATTATTAAAACTTTAGTTACTCATAGATATGATAACATGGTTTGATATACTCTATTTTGGTTCGTTCCGCATTTGACGGAAAAAAATAATAAATTAGTTCTTATAAGATTTATGGATTGAAAATTTTTGTCAGAATTATGTACAACCTTACGGGTTATTTAATAAAAAAATATATTATTAAATAAATATGTACAATTATAACGTTTCATCTATTTATCATATACAATGAATTTATATAAAAACATTCTAAATAATTTATTTGTATTAATTTAAAAGCACTTTGTTAGTTATATTGATTTGGTCATATTAGTTAATTATGAAAAAAATGTTGAGATGAATAGTTAGCTGTATTAGTTTATATACAATGTTCTATTAATTGGTGAGAGGTTGAGGCTCTATATAAAACACTGTGTTACTAATTTTACTTATATTTGAGAGTTATCAAATTTTGGGAATCATGATTCCCCATAATTTCTAAAAAGATTTGTCACTAGCTGTATAATATTTCATAGTGATATCTATCATACTTCTCTTTTAATTTATTGGTATATTGGATACTGATTGTTGATTAAGTCAAGAGCAGTTTTTAGTGTTCAAGAAGCTCTCCAAGTAAATAAATTATGTTTACAAATAATATATTATTATAAATAATAAAAAAATATAAAAAATAAAATAAGATGAAAGAATAAAAAAATGAATTATAAATATATAAATAAATATATTAAATAATCATTAAATTTAAAAAACAAAATAAAAAATTATATAAAAATTATAAACCTACAAATAAAATTATAAATATATAAATAAAAATATTAAATAGTTATTAAATTTGAAGAAACAAAATCATAAATTTTGCTAAAACTTTACTAGTAAGCAGAATTTAAAATTTACATAAATTAATCAACAAATACTTTTAATATTTTAATGAAAATTTCAATTGGATGAAATTATTCAACTAAATTTTAAGGTCCACTTAGATTTAAAAAAAATAAAAAATTACAAAAATAAAATTATAAATACATAATAATTTATGTAAATAATTTTTAATTTATTTATAATTTTTCAACTTAATTAATAAAATCTTAAACTTTATCTCAATAAATTCTTTTTATTTTTATTTATTTTTAAGTAGTCCTTGTAATTTATTTTGTTAACAAGCTACCAATTTCAATTTTAAATGCTTTTATATTATTATTTATTATAAATAAAAAATATAATTCGTATATTTTAATTTTTTATTAAATGTAATATATACTAAAAGAATAAAAAATTAGAAACAGTCAAAAACTGAAAAAAAAAAGATATATTTTTCTATTTCATTTTCCATTCTCCTCAATATTATTATATTAACATAATTATTATATTAACATGATCAAATTTTCATTATAATTATGAATTCGGATTTGGAGGACCCCAGTTCCCATATCTTCCCATCCTCGAAGAAAAAAAAAAAAAAATGTACCTTCATTCTGCATCGCATTCTGCATCGCTTCCCATCATCTCTCTTGCTCTCTCTTTCCGTGAATACGCTTCGGCCGTTCGTAAATCTGCCTGAAAGAAACCCCTAAATTCGAATCCATTGCGATCCGATCAGGTAAATTAATTTCCCCAATTTCTTTATTCTCTCTGTAGAATGTCTTCTCAGCAGGAAGATCAGCGTGCCGGATCTTCCCGGAATCCGATGGCTTCGAAATCGACCACTTCGGCGATTCTTGTTCGCGGAGCTCTCCGGCGGGGGGGTGGTCGTCCTGCCGCGGCTCCTCCTTCGCCCGGCCCCTGACTCTCTTGGCGATGACGACGCTGATTCCCCAGGCGTCAAACACGCTACCTCCAAGCCCCAGGTGCCCTCTGGCCAGGGAAAGCCTCCGGCGAGTGCTTCTTCCCCCGTGGATCCTTGCTCGAGATTGGACCGTGGATTGTGCCGCTGTTGACCCAAAAGGGGTGGCAGTTTGGCTCCTGACCGAGACCGCGGACCATTCCCCCTTTGCTTTTGTTTTTTTTTTTTTTTCTTTTTTGTTTGTGAATGCACTCATTTATTTGTTTGAAAGTGTGTTAGTGAATGTAGGTATAGCACCTGTAATTCGATATTTAAAACAAACAGAATTTGCATTATTCTCGACCCTTTGTTAATAGTTTAACTGTAATTGAAGGGATGCAACATGGAAAGTCCCCACTCTGTGAACAGTCCAAGACGAACTCTCAGTCTGTCAAAACAGCGGAGGGCAACTGTGTCCTTTTTTGACCCTGATGACAAAACCTCTGGCTTCGGATTGTCTGGCGATCATGGTCCTAAGCCTTCTGAAGTTTATGGTTTTGTGGGTTCTATTACCACGGTTGTTGCTACAGGTCTTCTTGCCTCCTGTCTTGCTCTTCACAATTTTAACCCCTTTCTGTCTATCCTCTCTGATACATGGCTTTCTATGTGCAATATTATATGTGATGATCATATGAGATTTCTGACTTTGTGAATAGTTATTTTCTTGATATGGGCATATGTTCCAGAATCATGGCTACAATCCGCTGGCATCTATTACTATCCTAGCAGGTTAGACAGCTCCACTCATGTTGTTATTCGAACCTATGGAAAGTATCAGATGTAATTGTTCAGAAAACCTGAAGTGAGAAATTCTGGAGCATTAATTTTAACGTCAAGGTGCATGAAACAAGTGTATTGGGTTTATCAATTTAGCTGTTAAGTGAGATAGGACTTTTGGGGAAGGGGTGGAGGGTATTAAGCCCAACTTCTTCCTTTAGAGAATTTAATAATGAATATATATGGAAAAAGGATTTCAAATTAACTGTTTATGTAAACAATGTGAATTTCGCATAAGCTTTTGTTTTCAAGATAATGGACTGGGAAACGCAGTTCTCATATGTAGGAAAAAAAATTTATTTGACTGTTTGTGACAAAATGTTAGTGAACAACTTTTGGCTTTTCAGATACTGGGCTCTAGCTGTACCAGTTTATGTGATGGTGACCATTGGATTGATGCTAGCCTTGTACATTGGCCTTAACTTCATTTCAACACCTTCCCCTGCATCTTTAAACATAGTTTTTGGTGAGTTTGATACAAATTCATTTAGATTTTTCTCTTCTCGAGTCTGTGCTATCAGTTAGAATCCAAACACTAATGCATTCTTTTAAGTTTTCTGATAACTGTACGGACATCTCTTTGTTCAGATGAATTCAGTAGAGATCCTTCGAGTAACGAGTCTTCTCTAGAAGAAGATGAGAAACCTATTGAGCCCATTTCAGATATTGGCATTGACAGAATAAATGATATTATGTTCAATAATGCAACCTAACAATCTTTCATATCTCCTATGTTGTTATAGTGGCAATTAATGCCAATCAAATGCTTCTAATTTGGGTTCTTGTGGGAGAGGTATAGCAGTAGAGGTGAAATTTATTGAGTTGATGTTGTGAGTGAATGATTTCATTCCATCTTACGATAAAATTTCCTTTTAATGCCTATTTTTTGGGTCCAGTTTTTAAATGCTCATGTCTGTTTATTTTAGAGTTCTGAACTTTACTACTTAATGAATTGGTGGTCAAGAGAGATAAGGAAACAACCTCTTTGTTTACGGGAGTAAGATTATGAATCTGACTCTTACCCCAGAATTGTGGTTGTCTTCGTGCACATGATCTCCCTTCATGTAGTTAAGCCTGGTTTCAGACATTAATACGGATAAATATTTTAGCATAAAAACATATGGATAAATTTTGCACAATTCCATTATATGATTTATATTGCATCTTTAAATCTTGCTTCATTATCTAATGCCGGATGAATGAATTATCAGGCCACGGTCTTGGTCAATCGGTTAAGGTGCCTATGAGTCACCTAATCGTTTAAGGTGCCTACACTGACATCGAACACTACATTGATATGGATACAAAATACAAGACTCGGTGACACCGTTGATGTATATATATATATATATATATATATATATATATATATATATAATCAAAGTGACAAAAATCTTATTTGAGAATTATGATTTGTATAATTCACACTGGAAAAATTACTTTTCTTACAATTTTTCTGTAATAACATCATTTACAATAGAATTCCAAATAAGAACATGTATTGTACTAGTTAAAATAATTGTGTGTCTTATGGAAATAAGCGTAAAAAATAGCCATGTATTATTTATGATTAAAGTTTATTTTAGTATTTTTGCTTACTTTTTATTATTATAAGAAGTGTTTAGCCAAAAATAAATATTATCTTTTTTTTTTTATTGTGTAAAGTTGAAGAGTGTCAAATACTAGTGAGAAAATATCACTTGACAATTTATTCCACATATCTTACATGTATATTCGACATTCTGATTATTTGTATGTTAAAGAAAGTTGTGTTTAATTTCTGTTCGTATATGAAAATTCATTGAGAAAGTGAAAGTTATAATATAACGAGTAATTTAGTCCAGAAAGGTATCAGAGAATTTATATAATAATACTAATAATAATAATAATGTTATTGACATAAAATATGTCGTCTCTGTCTATTATTAATATTTTGTCAGAAAATCATAGTAAAAAGAATTTAATAGATGAAAAATTCAACAGATTAAAATGTTAAAATATTTATTATTAAATTATTAAATATATGATTGATATGAACTTGGAATGCAACCTTTTGTTTAAAAGGAGTGTATGACTTTTATTATAAGCTAAAATATTGTTCTTCCACGTTAATCTCTTCGTAAAAAAATAAATAACTAAAAAATTACTTCATCCGTCTTAACATTATCATTGATCATGGAAGAAAATGAAAAAAAAAAACCTGAAAAAGGAAAAAAATAGAAAAAAATGAGAAATTTTTTTTACAGTCTTTAATAAACAATATATGCATAAAATAATTAAAATTAATCTAAATTTTATATTAAATTCTTGAACTTGAAAAATACTAATTAACCTAACAAGTATGTGTTCCATAATTCGCATGATCATTAATCAAACTATAACATTCTTACAAAGAAATATGGAAATCGAGTCGATTTAGAATTATATATTATCGTGGGAGTGGACTCTTCTGGAGTGAAAACTACACTTTAGGGGGTATTGTGCACTGTGAATGATTTAGATCAAAACACCTCATTTAAATTGTCATGTGATATCACCTTTTTATAATAAAATATATAATTAAAATTAGAAACAAAATCATAAAAACTTGTATTCATATCCTCAAAGACAATCTATACAACAAAGCAAACTTTCATATACAAAATGATTTGCAAAGGCGTTTTAAGTTAGACACTTCATGAGTTTGACTTATCTACGGAGTACATGTTACTGAATTTATATTGTGCTAAATTAAATAAAATTTCAATCATTTAATTTTATTTAATTATAAATATTAATTTGTAATTAATAATGATTAATATAACATAACATGATTATAAGAATCCAAAACCCTACTGTATATCTTTGTGGGTTATCCTTAATGGCCAACCTTGCAGTGAGTTTACACCCAACCGAAGAAGATGACACCGCCTATCCGAATCTTTGTATTCTGTGATGAGACTCTTTCTGGACTATTCTACCAGGTGCCAGGCAGTTGAGAATGGTTCTCCATAAAGGGTCAAAGTCTTCTCTCGTACAAGTCTCTATGATGACATGGTCAAGCGTTCAGTCTAGTCCCCGATTCTTTTGAATAACAGGGTTGATTTTCATCACAAATTACAGTGCTCCAATGTCCACTGTACTTCGAATTTAGTTATAGACATAAAACCCAATTGAGCAATCACCAGCGTAAGCTTTTCCGAGTAGGTCGTAGACAATTTATATCAAGTTTTGGTGCATAAAAGAGGATAAGGCAACTCCACGTAATGTTCGATCTTGTACGGAAAGTTGGTATAGTAGACAGAATCATGCACCCTTAAGGAACTAGAACGAGGAAGTGATTTTTTTCCCTTTCAGCTTTGACAAATTATTTCCCTATAGACATTTAATACTTTACCATCTTCCTTTGAATAAATCTATGGTTTTTCACAAGTTTGTAAGTTTTCGTGTGCTTTTATTTGAAATAATTTCAATGTATCATTAAAAAGAAAAAGGAAACAAAAAATATTGAGAAAATATACTCTATTTATCATCATACTGATACTTCCTTGGGTTACAATTTTCGGTCCCCACAAAAAAGTGACTCCGCAAACGCGTCACTGGTTAAAACTGCATAAAATCATCCATGTCTATCATACTCAACATATCTGCAAATACATAACATCATTGTAAGCACTCGCATAAAGAAACAATCCATACATAAATAAAATAGAACAAATAGGCCGAGTGAAAAAAATGTTTTAAGAATATTTTCACTAAACTCAAACCAGTCATCGAAACAGATAAACTTACCTCATTTCTCGTCCAGAAGAAGTGACGTGCAAGAAAGGAGAGAAGATACTTCATCTTCTGTAGCCAATCCAAAGCCTTGCCATCTTACTCTACCAAAATTATCAAGTAGAAAGATATACCTGTGAAATTGAAACGTTAAAAACAGTGCTGTACATAATTAATAACTTCACTGGTTAAAACATAATTGAATATGGAAAACCTTCTCTAACCCTGTTAGGAGATTTAAAATCCGAAGTTCCTTTCTAAAATAATAGTGGTCACCGAATGAATACACCATCTGCTTCTCAAGTGTATCCCTGCTTTCATGATTACTAGGTTTCTTCATTGTCCAGAGAAGGAAACGTTTTACTGGAGGCAGACATAAAAGCCATGAATCTATAAATGATACCTGATAGAAAACACAATAAAACTTCATTGAATAATTGTGGCTGGTGATTAAAAAGGTGGAAACAAAAGAATTAGTCACTGAAAGTCTTTAGAAAATAATATTGGAATTACAATTTAGAATTCTTATTTTAGTCCAATTTTCTTGGGATTGGATTTTCTTAAGATTCATAATTTTTATGTTTGGGACATAATTGATTAACAGAAATACAAACCAAATTAAGTTGGAATTCTATTAAAGGATGTCAATGGTGATGATGACCAAAACGGGAAACAATCAATGGTAGTTGGTGGTCGTTGGCAATGACATGGCATGTGTCCACAACAATGATTGATAGAGTACGTCAATCACAATGGTTTCTAGATTTGGCAAGAGACAATGGTAATGAACATTAAAACATGAATATCGATTATAACCTTCATTTTGGTACTTGGAATTCTTAGGAAATTAAATTTAGTATACACTTTTTTTTTTCAGTTCCATGCAATTAAACAGAATTGGAATTCCAATTCTAATGTACAGACTACACACCAACCAAGATAATTAGAATTGGAAGGGTCCAAGTACAATTCTAAGGCTCAATTCCAAATTCAATTCCATGCACCAAATGGATATTAGAGGAGTTGACATCAAATCTGAAGATCAACCTTGCATAGCATTCACAATAGCTATTAAAGTTTCAATATAAAAATTTCACAGGCTATACATATATATTTTAACATTTTGAGTCTCCTAAATTATGTATTTTCTTAAAAGTTCACATTTTTATGCCACGTAAGTAATAACCACACTTATCAAACCAAAACAGTCAACCCCAAAACTGCTCACCACTCCAGTGTAAGGCGAGTCACAGAATGGATGATAAAGTTCAGATACAGATTAAATAATTTACACCATACAAACATAAATGCTCAAAAAAAACAGACGTGACACACAAAAAAGATCAGAACAGAAAACAAAGATGAAATGACGAAATGAAAGGCCTGTATTGGATAGCAAACAATGAGAGCTGCTGGAGAATGGAGAGAAAGACCAGAAAGTATTGAGAACATAATTGAGTTGGAAAGGGAATACAACAGGACGTAGCAGAAGAACAGAAGTGTGGGTTGGGAGGAAACAGTTGTGCTTTTGGTCTTTCTTGTGCTCATCCTAGTGACAGAAAGAGTAAGTCTTGCACCCTACGTCTATGTTTCAAATGAAGACAAAATATCCATTCAGGGTTAAAGTGGGGAATTTCCATCTGTCAACCATAGTGGTCAAGATGGTCATGATTTTCCGGTGAGTGGCTGCAGTTAGCAGCCACAACTCCTTCTACATGAAAAACTCTGGTCCAGGTATGAAATGATGGCCCTGGCTACTCCAGGCCACTCCAACCTCCACTATTATACTGCACTGGTGATAAATTTAGCAATAACTACATGAGTTTTTTTCCATGGTCTTTACATGTGACTTTACAATGAAAAGCCAGTATGTAAACTTCTAGGGCCAACAGAAGAATTGATAGAGAAACTCTCTTCAACAAGCTAAACCAATGATTTTCATCCTAGATAGATAGTAGAACAAAATTGAAAAAACTATCAAGGAGAATTTTCAAGTTCCATGATAACCTTCTAAACACTTTTATAATTACCACCAATACCTTGTGGCAAACACATTTAAAAAAGGAAAATACATCATCACTTGTCATCTTTTTCTTCACAACTTATGTGATGTCCTAAATGACTGATTATGACAGGGTCAACGACAACAAAATGCATAAAACCTGAAAGGAACAGATAATTACCTCATATAAATGAACATCTTTTGATTTTCTAAATGCTTCGACAAAAGGGACACTCCAAGAGTTGACCATCTCCTGTCAAGGATATATATAAAGGAATTTACTGCGGCAACGGTAGGCCAAATTAAACAAAAATATGATTATCAATAAACATACCAAACAATACAACAAACATAATATATAGCTCCTTTGTCACTTGAAATCCGATTAAAAGGTGTAAAATGTACGTCTTAGGTTTGCAAATTATTTACAGAACGTCATGCCATGATTGCAACAATATATGAGATTCACCAAACAAAACAAGGATTCTTGAGGCTGAAATACAAACTTAGCCTGGTCAGAATAAAATAAAATATCTTTGCATTTTTCAATATCTTTACTCTATGTTTTTCTTATTGTCTCCAATGACATTTAAACTCCCTTTTCGGGGACAACTAGAGGTAGATACTGTTCAGCTTTCAATCAAATAGAATAGTTAGACTACAACAAATGCTACCTTTAAATGTCAAGCATTAGGGCTTTGTTTGAATACATGTTAACACACATTGTATGTCAATGACCGTGAGAGTTGGATTGGCATTTAACGTGCCTAGGAAAGTTGAAAGGGTGTAAACTAGACACGGTATAAGACATACATAAATGATGTTGTCTGCATCCAGAGATGATCACGCAACAAAATAGGGTAGACTGTACACAATAGAACTCACATCATTACAAAACATTACCATGATCCATTACCTGGGAGCTTGCTCGAAATGAAAGGCAAACCAAAGATGCCTTGGGGACAGAAGATTTATCAGAATCAACTGCATAATCAGAAACACGGATAGGAAGCTTCATTGTTTTACCATCCGAGAAGCTGACTTCAAAATCAGGAAACTTCAGAGCTTCCATTGCCGGTATTATCACTTTACTAGCTACAGCAATCTGCACAAATAACAGGAAAATCTGTCATATTCTTATTTTCTTAGCGGGTATACCCAAGACGTGTTTCTAGTTCAAACAGCCATCCCCTTCCTTCCTTATTAGATATACATATATGTCGTTCCAAACAATACACAGCTAACTGTTTTGAGTTTAACTAGCTTAGTAGATAAGTACAGTTCTAACTTCTAAGCAAGCTTGAAGAGACCAATTTAGCAAAACTTCAGCTAAAACTGAGAAATATGTTGTTTGGAAAGTTAGCTTTAGCTTATGTCTATGGTGTGTGTCACCTTAATTGGGACATGGAAACCAGAATTAAGTAAGAGATAACCTATACTGGTCTCTCAGGAACGAGCTTCAACACACTCCGCCAGACCTAATCAGATGCTATAGAAACAGAATAGAAGATTTGTTTTCCATTAACTGCAAAATAAACTAAATGTAGTGCTGCGAGTATATCTGAGCAAATTGGATTGATAATATAATTGCGATACCTCACCTTACCACCATGTTGTTTGAACTCAGCCATATCAGCGAAGTATCCCCTTTTCATTTCATCTCCACTGTACAAAAACCCTAAACCCTATCAATCAACATCACTCACTTTTTCACTTCCCTTCAGTACTAACTACTACATTTCACAAAAACATAAATTGAACTTACAGTCGAGCGCGCTCCTTCTCAATTGCTTTCTTATTTCCAAACTGCAAAGAAAAACGAAGTCGGATTAAAACGAAGAATCTAAGAGAATTAAAAAAGAAAAGCGAATGGAAAACGAAACCTGATGAAGATCGAGGAAGCGTTTGGGGGTTAGGCGTGACAAATGCTGCGAGGGAACAGGATGACAATGGACCTTCTCCGCTACGGATCCCACAACATGATCTCGGAGACTGGAACGTCGTCGTATCAGTCGCTTCAAACCGACCATCTTCACCGCCTCCATTTCGATATCCCTCTCTCCGTTCCCCTCCTACTACTGTAGCTCCAATTTATTTCACAACTTTAACTCAGGAGTTCAAATTAAAGCCAACTTAGTATCAATCATTAATTCAATAATTTTCATAATAAAAATTTTGACAATTTAATCTGTTGAATTTTTCATTTGTATTAAATTCTTGTTACTATGATTTTCTGACAAAATTAATATTAATAATAGATAGAGACGACAAATTTCCGTCAATAACATTACTAAATATATATAAGTTTTTCTCAATGAATTTTCATATACAAAAAGGAATTAAACACAACTTTCTTTAACATACAAATACAAAATGTCTAATGATTACATTATAATTATATTTACACATTTAATGTGTTTATCATTGTGAAAATAATGATTTTATAATATTATTATTAATAATTAATATTTACTTTTTTTGTGAATATATTCCATCATTTTAATTAATGAAAATGTTAAATATAAAAACAATCTTATAAATAACATATTTTACAAAAAATATTTAAAATAAATTTATTTATGATTAATACACAAAATTTATTAATAAAAAAATATATTTCATATTATATAATTATTTTTGTATTTGTTTGTTTTTATCTTTTTATTTAGTTATTGTTATTTTTTAAAAATTTGTTTGTTATTTTTTTCTTATTATTTTATTCTTCTCTCGCTCCTTTTTATTATTATGGTATTATATTAAAATTTGATAAAATAAATTTTTTATTATTTATAGAAAATAAAAATATTTAATTTATAAAAAATCTATAATTTAATTTATTATATTTTAAAAACTCTATCTTATTATAATACTATATTAAAATTTAATATAATGAGTTTTTTAAATAAAAATATTTCAATTATCATAGACACGATAATTTAATTTATTATATTTTTAAAAAATATTATATAAAATATTATTATTATGTTATAATTATTAAAAAAATAAAAATTTATTTTAAAATATTTTTTTAATAAATATTTTTTAAAATAATTTAATCTTACTAATAATCTTAACTTAACTTAATTATAATTAAATTATTAAATAAAAAATACATTTAAATATTTGATTTTTTTAATTAAATAAATAAAAAATTATTATAATAAAATAATTTTAAATTAATTATTTATATTATTGTAAATAACACTATTTATTGTGATAATAATCTCATCATAATTTTAAATAACTAATTGATGTGTTTTATAGTTTTAAATGTTGATTTTATCAATTTTTTATTTTTATTAAATTTTTAAATAATAATTTTAATTAGAAGAATAAAAAAAAAAGATAAAAGATATAATATAAACTACAGAAAAAAAAATTAAAAAAAGAATACGCTTCCCATCTCCCTAGCTCCCTCTTTGCGCTTCAGCCGTTAGTAGATCTGCCTGAAAGAAACCCCTAAATTCGAATCCCTTGCGATCCGATCAGGTAAATTATTTTCCCCGATTTCTTTGTTCTCTCTGGAGAATGTCTTCTCAGCGCGCAGATCTAGCGTGCCGGATCTCCCCGGAACCCGATAGCTCCAAAATCGACCACTTCGGCGATTCTCGTTCGCGGAGCCCTCCGGCGGGGGATGGTGGTCGTCCTGCCGCGGCTCCTCCTTCGCCCAGCCCCTGACTCTCTTGGCGATGACGACGCGGATTCCCCAGGCGTCAGGTGCCCTCCAAGCTCGTTACCTCCAAGTCCCGGGTGCCCTCTACCTAGGGAAGCCTCCGGCGAGTGCTTCTTCCCCCGCGGATCCTTGGTCGAGATTGGGCCGTGGGTTGTGCCGCTAGTGACCCGAAAGGGGTGGCCGTTTTGCTCCTGACCGAGACCGCGGACCATTCCCCTTTGCTTTTTTATTTTTTTTTCTTTGTGATATTGGGAATTTTTCTGCTTGATTTTGATTCCGGATAACTGTGTGTTATTAAGGACCGTGAGTCATGTGTTACCGATGATGTTTTGACAAATTTTTGGCTTTGTTATTTGGATTTCTTCCCCTTTTGACATTGATTTCTTTTTGGCTGTGATTGGTCGAACAAATCTGACGGCTACATTTTCATCCTACCTTCACACTAATTTTTGCTTTAACCGTCACAAATGCACAGTTTTACACTCACATAGATATGGCTGTGTTGCAGGGTTAGGTTAGGCGGTGGATAGGTGCAGTTGCTTTTGGGTTTCACAATTTATCATAATACATATACATACAAATGCACCGTGAGCTGGAAGAAGAAGAAGAAGCTGTTCCGGTCGAAGAAGAAGCAGGGATCTCTGATGGCTCCACTGCGGTGAGTCGGGCACGGAAGCTTCTGTTTCGGCGAATGCTGGTGGGGATCAAAGACGGAAGGTTCTTCTTGGGCTCCTTCTACTGCATCGACAAGCAGGGCAACATCATTCTCCAAGACGCCGTCGAGTACCGATGCACGCGCCAATCCTCTCCTTTTCCCATGGAACAGAGGTGCCTCGGCCTTATTCTCATTCCCTCCTCCTGTCGCAGCACTTGTCACATCGGTTCCTCTCTCCATGAGCAGTTCTCTCTGCTCTCGCTTCATCCGACACCACCGAGTTAGCTAGGGTTTTTCCTTACATCGATCGTGAGTGTCTCTTCAATTGCTCATGTGTCTTTATTAAAACGAAAGTGAGGATTTTCCTTATTAAACTGCGGTTATGGTAGCAGTTTGTGGCATTGCCTGATATCGCGGTTATTCTGTTGTTACACATATCTCAAACACAATTCTGGCTGCTTTGCAGATGCAATTACTTGAGCTGAAATCGTGTTCGCCGAACAACCTTAATTGAATTGTATTCCAGGACGAAGAATTTTCTATTTGTTTTTTATTTGCGTGTTCTGAAGTCAAAAGATTTTTTAATCAAAAACACTTCCTACGAGAGGTCATTGAATTATATCAAACTATGGTTGTACTTCTATCTTTGATGGTTGTTGTTAGAATTTTTTATGGATGCCATGCTAATGCTTGGGGTTTGTAGTATGAAAAGGCTCAGAATAATATGCGCAAACCATCAAGTACAACATGAATCTCTTGGGTGGTATACCGAGACTTGAAAATGAATTATCAAACGTGCACGGGTTAATATGCAGTTTTGGCACTACATTATTATATACATGAGTTATTTACACTGATATTACATCCTAGTTAAGTAGGATTGTAACTAGCAAACAATCCATAATACATGAGTGATTTATTTTTTGTTAATCTTCAAATTGAAGCATTATCAGCACGGCTACAGCTGTAGATTGCTACAATGAGTGAACATTTTCTTGATGGTTTCTTCTCATCAATCACGTTGAGCATTTGTGCATGAACTGGGAACACCGATCATCGGTTGGCTTTTGTGATGGAGATTGAAGACTTTTTCTCTGTTTGTAGATCATTTGGTGATGGAATGAATTGTTCCGTTCATCGTTTTTAGTAATGTCTACCGAAAAAAAGCATTATACACCCGAGGTCAGCAACTAACTACTTGCAATGAAGAAAACATATATTGAAAGAGGTTCTTCCTTTAAATAATTTTTTATTTTCACGAGAGAGTGATCCTTTATTTTAGACCGAGAGATATCCGGATTCACAACAAAATAGTTACAAAATTGTGGCAAAATTTACCTATTTATAATTTTTTTAGAGTGTAGAAGTCAGGATACTTGTTTAGCTTTAGAATAAACATGGTATTTCATGTACAACTTGAATGTAAAAAGAAATTAAATTTTATAGAATGTAACATGAACAATCAAAACCTATTACTGTAAGGTGTTCCGTAGACAATAAGGTATGGTACTGTTCTCATGACTGTGTCAATGGGAATTGCAAAGTTAACACCTGATGACACTCCAGTCCCTGAAATGCATCAAAATGAGCAAAAAGCATTATTCAAAGTTAATAATCTGGTAGTACAAATTATTCTAATTTAGCTATGATAATGTTTTCCACACACAAAAAAAAAATAAAAAAACAGATCTTAGGTAATGCTGGTGAAATATAGAGGAACAATAATTGAATATCTTCTTTAGGTTAAAATAATTGAAGTTTAATTGTATGACTTTGTTAGCAGATTCAGTTGATTGGCTTCCTAATTGAGCCGATGTACATATGAAATAAGAGGGAAACAATTTCTCAGAACTGATTACCCTTTAGAAAATAAAGAAAAAAGTAAAGGTGATGATGGATTTGTGACCTTCTTACCTTTCTCAACACCTTTTTCTATGGAAGGATGGAGAAAAGGTCATCTCAATTTTCTTAACTTAAATTGTGTTGTAGCTTCTCAAGTCTGATTATCTTTTAAATAAATATGATGTACAACAGAGTTTTGCAACAAAAATGATGCAAAGGAAGTGATAGTAACATTATTTAAGACAATTTTCTGACTAATTCAGATTAAAATCACGAGTCTCATATTCCCTCTTTTTCAGAGTTACAGAAGTATTCTCATGAAAGTAATTAATAACATCTCATTACCTTTCTTTGTGAAGGTAGCAGTGTTTACTCCAATAACATGGCCATATGAGTTAATCAATGGTCCACCTGAATTTCCTGTTCAAATTGGTGCACATATAGATATTATATACCTACATAGTCTTGTGTGAATGCAAGTTAAGAAAATACTGAACTCCAAAATAATTTGGTGAATCCTAAGAGTTGTAACAAACATATTATCTAAAATTTGGCAGTAAACAGCAGAGTCATGTTTTAAATATAACATCTCGACATGGAAGCAGGGGCTGAAATTGATCTACTAATATCTATTAAGGAAAACGTTTTTAACCAAGATTATTTGCACAACTACATTTTATTTGTTTCTTCCATTTAGGTAGAATGGAGTGAATCTGCCAGGATGATCTCACTAGGCAGTATATTTTCCAAGAATGATGCAGCCATCTGTACTATATATGGAGATAACTGGCTAACATTGTTGATGTCCATGTCATTTTTTGCAAAAGATTGCGTAAATTAACACAGAACCGTTGGGTAATAAAATCAATTTTGTTTCAGCTTGCAGCTGCTATGATAGCTCAAAAATGAATTTAGCTTGACTAGTGAAATCACATCAAAAACTGATATTACATGGACAAAACATATTTTAAAAATGATGATGATAAGAGAGGTTGATAAGTTAATATTACCTAGTCTCGATCAATTCCCAAGTTGTAGAGTACAACGGAAAAAAGTAGAAATGACCATTTTTATTGATGTGCAATATGAGTTAGGGTACAAACTACAGTTTCCAGTTTCCCTACATTCCTTAAATTTTACTTATGAGGTTGAGGTCGTAAATATAATGAACGTCATTAAGGGCATAGCTTACCTGCGTTAATTGCTGCATCAGTTTGAATAGCTCCTCTAATGGCCCCTCCATTTGGTGAAGGTATCTCGCGGCCTAAACCACTAACCACCTGCATAATTTACATCAAACAATACAGAATGATCACATTATACTTTTTGGAGCATCAGAAATTGCTATTACTACTCAAACCTACTGCCACCCAAATTCCCACCCAGCCCAACTATGTGACCTAAGTTTAGATGACTCAAAATGATTACATGCTTACAAGATGATTGCATGTCAATTAGGCATTAGTATTAAAAATCTAACGAATTTTGTTCTATGTGGGAACTACAGCTCAAGATGAAAATCTTTATATAGGGAAGCATAAATAATTATTCTAAATTTCATCCACAAGTTTATATCCTTCTTCTACAACTATTTTGCCTGAATCGATAGAGATTATTAAAAAATTACCCCTGTTGTGAGAGTGTTCTCATATCCATAAGGATTCCCAATGGCAAAGCAGCTTTGGCCAACACGTAAATTGTTAGACTGACCGACATTAGCCGGCTTTATTTTGTATCCAACAACATCAACCTGTAAATAGAAAAACTTTAATGTATTTCTGACAGTGGCACACAGGAAGAGAAGGAAACATGCATAAGTTAAATTTAACTTAGTATTGGTTTTATTAGGTAGACAAAAGAAGAGAAATGAAAATCTATCTATCATGTATACAATGTGAAGTTTAAGGTGCAGGCTGCGACTTCAATTTCTTTCAACACTCATTTCTTGTTACATCAGCAATTTTTCACTACTGTAAGCTCCTAATTCTCTTTGTCTTTACAAAATGGCGGATCTGAGACCAGGGACAATTTACTTCTCAAGTCAAGTGGTATATTTGTATACTCTCAATATAGGGGAAATTTACTTCTCATGTCAAATGGTGCATTTATACACTCTCAACACACAGGTCTATCATAAAAAACAATGACCAACTGGTTCAAATATATAAAATTAGGGGGGTAAAATAATTTTTTTCAAATATTTAGTAATAATTTTAACAAAATCAGGGATTCACATGTACACTCTTGTGTATATATATATATATATATATATATATATATAGACTCGCTACTGTCTTTACAAATCCTTGGAACTCATAACCAGACAATTACGGACTTAGGTGCTTACTTGGCCTTTTAGTTTGACGAACATCAAATTTGTTTGACACATTTTAGAACCTTAGAAGGGAAAATTGATACCAATAATAATGTTTGCTTTACAATATCAACATGCTCAAAACGAAACTTGGACTGGAAGATTTAGGCTTTCCCATTATGGTGGTTTTAAATGACCGTATAATTAAGATAAAGTATGTGCTTAGTAAGGCAACTTGCTGAACTTGACTACAAAAGCCATTATGGTGGACAGCAGTTTTAGAAAATGCGCGTGTTCAAGTACCAAACAAACGAGGATATATCATGATAATGGATCGGAAAGAGGAATAATTTATGAGAGAGAGCATAGAGAAGATATCATAGGAGTGTCAAAGAACCATATGTTATGAAAATGAATAAAATGAAGAAAAAAAAAAGAGGATTGGAATGTATACCTTCAGAACAGCTAGATCATATGCTGGATCAAATCCAATTATCTTGCCTTCCCTGTAAAAGCTATTCCCTTTGGCATCAACTAGGAACACCTGTAGAAAGCAGTACGAACGTGCAATACTTTTGCTACCCAGAGAAATTATCTAGCAAAACTAAATGATGGAAAACATGGGGAAATAGAAGCATCCTTCTCTGGTAAAAAATATCATAAAATTTTTAATGGAATTAACAGCATTAAGGGAAAACCTTACAACGTTGTAAACCACTTGTATCAGTAGCCAGTTTAGAGACAACATGGTAATTGGTAACCTGTTCACCAGCAAAAGCACATAACTACTTCGAACAATCGGTAACCAGTGCCATCCAAGACAATATCTATAGCATTCGTGAGTATACAATTCATTATTAGTTATTAAGATATCGTGTCAAACTACGCATACAGGTGTTATTCAGTGTCCAATTACGTTTATAATGATCAAAGGAATTTCAAAGTCGGTGAAACAGTTTCCATATTTCAATCTTCATTGAATTGAAAGCACCATTTGCAAGTAAAAATTTGTTCTTTTAGATAACTGCCTTCATAAACTTGACACAAAAATTGCTCCACTGGTCAACAGTAAATCAAGATAATTTGAACAGAATAGAATCCAAGCGGGGCGAAGAAATTCCCCACTCTGATTTGGCTTATCTTACTATGTGACCAAATTTATCCCAAATGAAGCCTGAACCAGTGCCTTCTACTTTTGCATCTTCATCCTCATTCAGCACGGCTCCCTTGGAAGATGACTTGGGAACTTTATTCAATTCAAGGTCTTTAATGAAAACAACCGACGGTGAAGTATCCTGTGACAATCCCAATTCCCATGTTTAATAAAAAATAACAAAAAAAGAAAAGAAAAAGAAAGTAATCACCTTTTATACCACACAAACAAAATTGAGGTGACCTGAAAGAGTTGCACAACATGGTCTTCTTGTTGCTGAAGCTCATCATCTGGCAGGACCTGAGCAAGTGCAAGTGGTGTTGAATTGAGATTTGGCAAATTGAGAAGTAGGATGCTGGAACCAAAGATCGTGGTTCGACGAGTAGTGACAGAAGGAAGGGTCTTGGTTGAGGAAGGAGTATTTAGTATTGGCAATGGAGTTGGCAGTGGAAAGAGGTTGTTTCGGAGAGAAAACAGTGCCATGTCTCAGACACAGGATAAGACCATTCCTTACCTCCCTTTTTCTTCATCCCACTTTTATTATTTTCTTTTTCACATATATGCAAATATTCATTCTTGTATAAACTTCATATAAACTACACTTTATCACAAATATTAATATCCAGTGTAATATTAATTCATCATTTATGTTTTTATTAATATGATATTAGATGTAAATTTTGAAGAGAAAATATGTTTTTTTTTCTTACGAGTTTTACGTTTGTTTAGTAATCGAGATGAAAAAAAAAATTATATACACTTTTTTTTCTTAATTTTTTCTTGAAATATTTTTAAATGATAAAACGAGATTAAAATTCTAATACAAATAACACCTCAATTGTAAAAAAGAGCACACTCTTTCATTGTTCCTTAATTTTTTTTATATTATTATTATATTATTATCCACAACTAAAAAATTAATATTAATATAAATTTAAAATAATAGACATATATTTTTATTATTTGGAGACACATTGTGTGATAAATAATTTTTAAATCTATAAATATATTTTAACGATAGACTGTGCGACAGAATTATTTTGTTCCCAATGATGCATTTCGGATATCTAAATAAATATGAAATATTTTGAAAGTTTGGCAAGGATTATTTTTGTCCTTATCGAAGTTATTTGTCACAATAGCCGTCAAAATATTTTCATATTATTCAAAGACCGTTTTTGTGACAGACCCATGTCTAAATATATCTTAAAAATGAATTTTCATGAAAAATTATAACGAAATGATTCGCCCCATGGTATTAATTAAATTTGAACAAAAAAAAACATAGGGTTGTGACCAATTATATATTTGAAAATTTGTATATCTTAAAATTATATAGAAATAATTGATTATTGAAATTAACTTTTTTTTTAATCAATATAAATACTAGTTGAAAAAAATATAATAATGTTAATGTTCTAGTTTAATACGTATAGGAAGTTCCGTAGAAATATAAAACTTTAAAATGAAAAATGGAAACTATAATAAAAGTTTCAAAAATTATAATATAATTGTGAATTCTTGTACTGATTATATAACGTATATCCTGCTCAAACATTTCCACTATATAATCAAACCAAATAAGATTTGTAACTGACAAAAATCTCATATTATTTTTTAAATTTAAAGTTATTAGTTATCTAGATATTCAAATTCTAGTTTTTTCTAGTTGGAGTCATAGAATTTGGAAAAACGTAGAATAGTCATATAAAATGTGTTATCTAATTCGTATTTTAAGTTATTATAATATTAGCTTTTTTCTACAATAATTATATAAAAACTAAATTACTTATCCGGTGCTTAAATAAATCCTAAATAAAAAAATAAACTTTTATAAATAACAGCTTATATTTGTGAGAACTTATATACAGAGTATGCTAATCCTTGTCGTTAGAGTATTGATTAAAAAATAAATCATTAATGAAAAGGTTTTATTAAAGATTGCGTTAGAAATGGTGAGAGAGCTGTGTGCTATATTATATTAAAAAAATCTTTCATATTTTATTTGAAAATTTTGTGTTGGCGGTGTGCTATATAATTTATTTTGTAAATAGAATTTTTGGATTAAAATTTCAATTAAATATTAAAGCACTATGTCAAATATAATACAAAATAGAACTCGAGCTAATTGAGCATAAAAGGTTTAATTGATTTTACCTTTATTTTTTAGATATTTCAACTTATTCACAATATTAATTTTAAAAAAATGTTATATAATATGGACACATGTGTATAAATATCAAATGCAACTCTCATAATCCATTTTAATCACCCTCAAAAGTTTAAACACATATATGGAATCAATAATATATATATATATATATATATATATATATATATATATATATATATATATATATAATACATACACAGAGAAGCAATCTTCATTGTAAAAGAAAAGGTCATCCATGATTCAAGAAAAATGAGAATTAAAAAAAGGTTTTCTAACTTGTTTGTGCATGCAAATCTTAATTGTTGCTTCAACCGTTGCTTTCACCTTTTACACGAATGCACAATAAAGATGCTTGGCGATATATAGATTAAGGCCCACAATACTTCAATCAATAATAATTTCTCAAAATGGTGTGTTAATATTGCTGATTTTGCACAAGTTCAAAATATCTATCTGTGATTCTATGGTCACAATTTCATTTCTTATAATTAATGGAAGCTTATCAGTTTAATTAATTCTCCATGATTTTACCAATAATTCATTTAAAGGAAAAAGGATGAAAGAAATGGTGATGATGATGATGAGAAGATATCACAAGTGTAAAAACTCATTAGACAGTATTAATATTGGAGATTGTACCACAAGAGAAAACGATAAACAGTAACATTGGAAACAGGTTTAAGTCAAAAAGAAAACATTACAAAAAAAGTACAGAAGGTACAAGGCAAAATTTGTTGGAACATAGTCTATAGATTCTGAATTTCTAACACTGACCTTCTAAATTTGATAGACTTTTCTAGTTGCCTGAGATTTAATTTTATGAATAAACTCCTCTATCCTCCTATTAAGATCCTCATTTGACATCTTTGAAAACTCATTTTCTTCTTGAACAGCTATTACCTTCACAGTCTCTGATCTTTGCACCATGCACACTCTCTCCTCATTCATTACATGCTTTTGTCTATTGGATCTATCAGACTTACTTCGCCGGTAAATTCTTGCGGGAATTGCTTTCTCCTCAATTTTTTCATTACCATCATGCACATGAAGTTCTGGCCTTTTCTCATTGGAGCACTCACTAGGTTTCTTAGGTTGGTTTAGTACCACGATTTCAAGAACACGTTCTGGGATATTTTGATCAGAGGTAGTTTTTTTCTTCTCTTCTAACAGCTTACAACCTAGCTCTTGTTTGGGATTAATGCATTGCTTATGAACTTGTCCATCATATTTGGGTACGTATGGGGTGGCATAGTTTCTTGCTTGATTGTGTTGAACATACTCTTCATAGAGATCTTCTTTCTTTCTGGATGAAGAGAATGCTCCATAGTCAGCAGCAATAATGAGAATGAGGGTGTTGGACATGAAAAACCAAAAGATGTTGTTGTTGAGGAGAGAATAAGGAGATAGGTTGAAGGTATAGAAGACACATATGTAGATGAAAAGGGAGAAAATAGAGGCAAAGAAGGATAAACTTTTTGTTCTAGGGGTATGAACTTTTGGTTTGTAGTCTTCCTCTAGATATAGTGATTTAGCCATGCAGGTGTTTAGGGAAGTGACAGGAGAGTGTGAAGTTTCTGCTGAGGCTTGTTTAGAGTGCTTATAAATTGAGGTTTGGTGGGAGTTGAAATGAGTTGTGTAGAGCTTATATATATATATATATATATATATATAATGATTGATTCATGATGACCAAGTATCAAATGATTGACCCTTACAAATACAAATATACCCTTCTAGTGCCAAGTTTTGTTTCCCTTTGATTATTTGAATGATGGTCCAACAAAATGTTGAGGAAAATGAGCCAGCTAATTTGGTGAATAATTTAAACCCTGTTATGCGTTTGAGTTGAATATTGGTTTCATCTGTCTTCGTTAATAACATGATCTACATGAATTTTCTTAATGATGTTAGTTCTGTTTAGTGGACAAATATACGTTCGCACTAAATTCACGGAGAAGAATGTGATTATTCAACTATTTATAAATATAAAACTTAATAATGTGCTCACATGGAGATACAGGTACAATTGGCATGATATCTACAGTATAGCTACGAATTGATGAGCGAGTTTAACAATGAAAATGGCTAAGATATACCTTTTGGTCTCTGGTTTTAGGTATTTTTGACTCAGTTTTGTCTCAATTATTTTACATGATAGCTATGCAAAACTAAAAATTATTGTGATGAAAATGAAAAGAAACTTGGCAACAAGAGGAAGTCAAAATATCATAACGTCATGCATGATAATTTAGCATTGATTGTTAACAAAGTTTCCGCAAATCAAGTGTTGATTCAGCTATTATCAGGTTCGTTCTTTGATAAATAACTAATTTAATAATTCCCCACACTTTCTGATATCAAACCCAAACTTTATATACAAACCCAAAAGTTATTTTTATAAGTCACTAAGTTGAGAGCTTATTATGTTGTTTGTTTCATTACGATTGGACATGGCCTTTATTTAGCATTAGAATACCGAAACCTTTATGATGAGCATGAGATATATACATACAGCCGTGAAAGTGAAAGCGATATGATTGAAGGAAATGTTGGAACGTGTGTGAATATAATAACCCAGAGAGATAGACACTTGTGCGATGAATGATAAACAAGATGACTAGTTATAGATGGTGCCTAGCTGGCTTGCTAGGTGTATCTTTATCCCCAGGATTGTTGAATTATGACAAATAAACAAAAACCAAAATCCAAGCAATCATTTCCTAATGTCTGCGTAACTCTTCCTCGTCTTCGGCAATATAATGGTTTTCGTGGGTCCTTTCCAACAACTCTTCGCGTTTGTATAAGATTCGGAGCTTAACACGTGTAGCATGAAACCTTAAAATGACCCACATGTGGCAAAATCTCCTTGAGCAGCCCCAAGGGTTTGGGTCACAATTGTCTTCGTCATTCACCGTCTATGCCAAACGCCTTTACTTTGCTTCATCAGTTTAGATATAGTTACACCCAACACCAAGATGGTGACATTAGATTGTGTGCCACGTATGTTCTAAAACTCCATTCCAAAATAAATTATGAAATAATAGGTCATATGCTTCAAATGTCTTCCATACTTGTGCTTGGTTCTTTTTAAATTGAGTAATAAACTTGGTTTTAACTTGTAATTGTTCATTTATGTACTTCCATGTCAAGGGACAAGAATTGGTAAAAGGGTTGTCGTTTAGAATTGGTTAATTATCTCTTTCTTGCGTGATCAAATCATCAAAAAGATTGTGCATTAATTATAAAATACGTCTAATAGGAGTTTGTAGTAACTAGAGGAACATACTAAGAACAGCGTTTCATCGATGATCAGTGTATTGTATATATCACAGACGAAAGGGAGACCACCATGATTTTGGGTTTGCCTCTATGATGGGATTGATTAGATTCACAAATAATATATTGGTGTGTTTAAAGCTTCATTAAAAACATTTTTTTCTCACTTTATAAACTAACATTTTATAATTAAACTTCCTTTCACTTTATATTCATCGATATTCTTTCTGTCTCATTATATATATTAAAAATATTCAATAATTATTATTATTGAATTAAAATAGATTATTAGAAACAAAATACTTAAAAAATCATTAAAATTTCACATCACTATTTAATTTTTAAAAGATTTATCAAATATTTTTTTTAAATATTTTCATTATCATAACCTAAACTAAAATATATTACATATATTTTTCAATAATATGTTAATTCATTCTTATATTCACCATCTATGTCATTTACTCATAATTATTTATTATTATTAATTTTATGATAATAATTATATAAAGACATATTAAGTTATTTTTAGTGCTAAATTTCATTTTTAATTTTATTGTTAGATAGTAAATATAAGATATATTATTGTGAAAATATTACATTAAGGAAGATATCAAAATCTCTGCTATGGAGATTGAGTTTATTATAGTCCATATAGTGTTTTTATATATTTTATTTTAGTTTTTTATATTAGATATAAGTCTGACGTTAATGTGAAAGACGTAAATTTATATTAAAAATAAAAATTAACGTTAATTTATGTCAGTTATATAGACAATCAACATCAATTTATGTCATATAAAAAGTAAAAAATAGACTAAAAATGTTTTAAATATTAAAAAATGGGACAAAATTTACATTATGTGTGTCATACACAACGTAAATTTACATCGAATAAGGTCATAACACATAAATTTATGTCTTTTATTGCCTCGTCTAACGCAAATTTATGTCGAGTATTGATACATATGACACAAATTTAATTTTCTTATTTTTTTAATATTAAGCTTGTTTTGTGTTACAACCACCTGCAAACATATTTTAATCATAGACAGTCCAGATTCATAATTTTCAATAAACAGTAATTCAAAATATAATGATATAATATAATACAAAATATAAAAGTTAAACTAATACAAAGACTAAACTACTTAAAAATTAAACTAACACAAAAATTAAGTTACTTAGATGTTAAATTACATAATACAATACAATATAATACAAACAATAACCTATAAACTAAGTACTAGAAATATTGAACGAAAAAATTATTGTTCAATGTTCTCTAATTTATGTCATATTATGTTCTGATAGTGAAGATGAATCATAAAAATACCTAAAATATTAATCTAACTCCTATTAATATACAATGCATATAAAGATAAATCAACTTAATAAATGTTGAAAGTAATTATTATTGTCGTCCTCAAAAACCCTCGCTGCACGAGGAAAAAGTCCTAGATAAAAGAGTGGTGATATTTTGACAACCAGAAACCATACAACTCTTCAAACAACTCACTTTTATTAATATAATAATCTATAAAATGATTGAATAAAAATAAAAATAAAACAAAACTATTATTATAATATTAAAAGAGAGTTGTTTATAGGAGTTGTATGAATTTGGGTTGTCAAAGTATCATTTTCCAGATAAAAATAAAACACGACTTTTATGTCGGACTTCACAAAAACCGACGTAAAAGTGGTGTCCCTTATTTATAAAAATATCATTACGTTTATCTAAGATTGATTTTTTTTTTGTCCAACGAGAAATGAATGACATAAAAACCTTTTTTGCATTAGTGATGCCGACCTAATATTAGAGGGTCACCTGATGTAAAAATTACATTCATTATTTAAAAAATGTCATCGCATTTTTTAAGTAAGATATTTTTTAGTCCAACAAAAAATGTGTGACATAAAAGATCTTATTTGCACTAATTACTATTGTACAATAACTCTTGGATCTATAAAATAAATAAAAAATATTTTTAAAATTCTATAGGTCTCAATTCTCAAAGTTAATCAAAATCAAATAATAAGATGTATCATTAAACAAAAAATTAAATAGGATTTTTCTTTCCAAGTGTCACTAAGAAACTTACCAAAAAGTATCATAAGATATTAGGATGAGATTTTTCATTGATACCCAATATATCTCCGTATAATTATTATCTTAGAACTTTCCAATACACCTTACAAAAGACTTGTAACTCAATAAATATATAAATGTCATATTTTAGATTTAAAATTATTAAAATAATTTATGAATTGTGACTTTATAATTTGAAAGTGTAATTTAATAATTGATTTTTATTTATGTTAACAATTTATATAAAATATATAATAAAATTAAGAGACTTATTTTATTTTTGGAAAAAAATGATACTGAACTTATTATTTCTACGAGTACAAGCATATTTTTTCAGAATTATGAATATATGTGTAGATATTTTACGGTCAAAACACCAAAACTCAACCAAACGAATTAATGGTCATGAATTTTTTAATAATATAAGACGATTACGAGAATCTATGTGTAATTATAGGGCATAAGATTCAATATAATATAATTGCAGTTATATATGCATAATTGCTAAGTATTAGATTAACAAATGATAAAATCGATAACCCCGTTAAAATTAACAATGTGTTTGTTTTCACTGATATACTACTGTTGACGAAGATAGAAGCACGAGGATGACACACGTTTGGTTGAACAAAAATACGACGAAGTAAAAGCGAGGAAAAGCGGGAGATGGGAGAAAGAGGTTATTCGCTGATGCACGAAGAAAAGAGATGAAAGTTCCCTGGACAAATTGAAATGTCCAACTTACCCTCACTCGCAAGATTCACTGGTGCATGCATGCAGAGAAATTCTTAAAAATCTCTGCAAAAAGTTGAGAAAATATAATTTATATTAATTACTATAAAATATAATTTATTTTAATTTCTGTAATATATATATAAATGAAAATAAGTTATATTTTGGAATATATATTTTATATTTTAGTCATTAATATAAATTATATTTTAGAATATATATATATATATATATATATATAATTTTACATCAAAATATTTTCAAATAATCGAGATTTTAGTAGCGGTTAACGTGGAACCGCTATCATATGTTACTTTTAAGAGCGGTTAACATTTTAACCACTCTTAAAAGTGATCCTATAATAGCGGTTCCACGTTAATCGCTATCTAAAATCTCGATTATTTGAAAAAGTGATCGATCATTTGGAAAAGTAATCGATCATTTGAAAAATTATATATTCTAAAATATAATTTATTTTAATTTCTGTAATATATATATAAATGAAAATAAGTTATATTTTGGAATATATATTTTATATTTTAGTCATTAATATAAATTATATTTTAGAATATATATATATATATATAATTTTACATCAAAATATTTTCAAATAATCGAGATTTTAGATAGCGGTTAACGTGAAACTGCTATCATATGTTACTTTTAAGAGCCGTTAACATTTTAACCGCTCTTAAAAGTGATCCTATAATAGCGGTTCCACGTTAACCGCTATCTAAAATCTCGATTATTTGAAAAAGTGATCGATCATTTGGAAAAGTAATCGATCATTTGAAAAATTATATATTCTAAAATATAATTTATTTTAATTTTTGTATATATATATATATATATATATATATATAAATGAAAATAAGTTATATTTTGGAATATATATTTTATATTTTAGTCATTAATATAAATTATATTTTAGAATATATATTTATATATATATATATATATAAAATTTTACATCAAAATATTTTCAAATAATCGAGATTTAGATAGCGTTAACGTGGAACCGTTATCATATGTTACTTTTAAGAGCGGTTAACATTTTAACCACTCTTAAAAGTGATCATATAATAGCGGTTCCACGTTAACCGCTATCTAAAATCTCGATTATTTGAAAAAGTGATCGATAATTTGGAAAAGTGATCGATCATTTGAAAAATTATATATTTTAAAATATAATTTATTTTAATTTCTATATATATATATATATATATATATATAAATGAAAATAAGTTATATTTTGGAATATATATTTTATATTTTAGTCATTAATATAAATTATATTTTAGAATATATATATATATATATATATATATATATAATTTTACATCAAAATATTTTCAAATAATCGAGATTTTAGATAGCGGTTAACGTGGAACCGCTATCATATGTTACTTTTAAGAGCGGTTAACATTTTAACCGCTCTTAAAAGTGATCCTATAATAGCGGTTCCACGTTAACCGCTGTCTAAAATTTCGATTATTTGAAAAAGTGATCGATCATGTGGAAAAGTAATCGATTATTTGAAAAATTATATATTCTAAAATATAATTTATTTTAATTTCTGTAATATATATAAAAATGAAAATAAGTTATATTTTGGAATATATATTTTATATTTTAGTCATTAATATATATTATATTTTAGAATATATATATATATATATATATATATATATAATTTTACATCAAAATATTTTCAAATAATTGAGATTTTACATAGCAGTTAACGTGGAACCGCTATCATATGTTACTTTTAAGAGCGGTTAACATTTTAACCGCTCTTAAAAGTCAACATATAATAGCGGTTCCACGTTAACCGCTATCTAATAGATATTTGTAATAGCGGTTAATTCTAGAACCGCTATCTTAAATCTCGATTATTTGCAAAAGTAATTGATTATTTGAAAAAGTAATCGATTATTTACAAAATTATATATTCTAAACACGAGAGAAGGAGGTAAGTCATGAACAGAAGTCACGGGCTGTACATGCAGAGGTCACGGGCTGTACATGCAGTAGTCACGGGCTGTACAACCAACTTCACGTGTTCACAGCTTCACGTGTTCACAGCTGATAGAACTTGAACCAAAGCCCGTAGTTACAGGACTTATTCTTTCTTCTCTAGTTACAGCTGATAGGGAAAGTTATTGTATTATATAAAGCAAAACTAGTCTCATAAGACTAGCTAAAAGACTCTATTCCATATGCCAAAGCTTGGATTTGTGTTGTAGGTTGGATCTTTGCCGACGGCCATTAACTGCGGTGTGACCTTGTCCCACCAACAGCTTGCTTGGTATCTTGTTGGAGGAACACCCCAGGTATGGTTCTGTGTCTTCTCTGTCATGGTTGGAATCTCAAACTTGGTTGGTACGTTTGTTTTTGGAGTCTGTGTGCATGCATAAGAGTGTGTGTGACCATTCAAATTTGAGGTATAAAACATGGTCAAACCTCCTCCACTCCAACAAAAAATGTGCACCATACGACCATGGTTTCTGACTTGTGCATTGGTTATGTTGTTGTTGCAGGCTGTATCTTAGGGGCACCGTCAAGTTCGCCGTCAGCTTCTCCTACAAAGAGCTTCGTTCATATCTTCTCCCACAGGTATGGTTCATATGTTATTTTCCATGGTTGCAACCTGAAACTGGTTCTACTGGTGTTGTACTCCATGCATGGTTGAGGTAAAAATTGGTAGCTACTACATATGCAAAAATTGGAACGAAAAACTGGAACCAAAACCCCTGTTTTTGCAATTATAATTATTATATGGAAATTTTGAATTTTTTTATATATACTGAAAAGAAAAAAATAATTGAGAGATACATGAAAAATATTTAGTAAAAATTAGGACAAACAATATTAATGCATAGTTAAATAAGGAAAAAAAAGTTAAATATAGTTATATTTAAAAAATAAATTTATTATTTTTATAATAAATGGAGTATGTAAAATTGAGAAAAGAAAAAAATTTTAAAAAATGAGAATTTGTTAAAAAAGAAGTAAAAATATTAGAGGAAAAAAATTATTAGTAGTTTTGTAAATAATTTTTGGTTTTGTGATACTCGGTTTGCAAATGACAATTTTGAATTACTTCCATTAAACATTAATTATATATATATATATATATATATATATATATATATATATATATATATTTTTTGCGATGAGACAAAAACATCGAGGTCATTGGTTTAGACAATGACGATATAGATACCTGGTCCGGATATAAACATAATTTCACATATACAAAGTGAGATAAAAAAGCGAAGCGAAGTAGGAGCGATGACAATTCTTTGTTTGATAGCTTATGGATTAAATATGTTGTCTATGGTAACTTGTAGTAGCGGTAACATTAGGGACTTTATTTCTGAAAAAGAACGTCGTCGGCACGAGTTGATGTCATACCTTATTCATACTGAACAATCTCGTGACATTATTCGCATGGGACCGGAGGCGTTCATTAACTTGTGTCAACGAGTAAGGACAACTGGATTAGTAAACGATGGGTTACAATCAACAGTGGAAGAACAAGTGGCTAAATTTCTCCATATTATCGGACATAACGTTAATCGAACTGTTTCATTTTTTTTCCATCGATCAGGTGAAACCGTTAGTCGACACTTTCATAACGTGTTGAATGCGATAATAATGTTGGACGAACAATTAATTGTTCAACCATCATGAAGGGATGTGTGTCCGTATATATTAAACAACAACCGATTTTACCCATACTTTAAGGTAATCTACTTACCAACTTTGTGTCTATATAACATACACATAGATTGTCTAAACTTTATTGATAATAAATTTTTTTACCAATTAGGATTGTTTAGGGACAATAGATGGAACTCATGTTCGAGTTAAAGTCGCAAGATCTGATGCCCCTCGTTTTCGTGGAAGAAAAGATTGGTCAACACAAAACGTATTTGCAGCTTGTGATTTCAACATGAAATTCACATATGTTCTAGCAGGGTGGGAAGGAACAGCATCTGATTCAAGAATATTAAAGGATGTTCTTACGAGAGAGGATCGCCTTATCATACCACAAGGTTTATTATTTATAACGTGGGGATTTTGTGTATAGTCAACTAGTTTAAATATTCTAATTAGTATAACTTCAATGATTTTAAATAGGTAAATACTACTTGGGGGATGTCTGGATTTATGTTAAAAGCAAACATAATGACCCCTTATCGAGGCATTAGATACCACCTTAAAGAGTATTCTCGACGAGCTCCACAAAACCCCGAGAATTGTTTAACCATCGACATTCGTCTCTTAGAAATGTAATTGAAAGAACATTTGGAGTTTTGAAGAAAAGATTTCCTATAATAGCTAGTGGAACAGAGCCTCATTATTCATTTGATACAATGACGAATATAGTCCTAGCATGTTGCATTCTACACAATTTTCTTCGAGGGATAGACAACGATGAATCACTGTTAGCTGAAGTAGATCGAGAGTTGATGGAACAAGATGTGGATAATATGTCGACTCAAGTTCGGGAAGAGGATTATAGGGAAGGGTCAAACTTAAGAGATACTTTAGCAAATCAAATGTGGATAGATTATCAAAGTCATTACATTTTGTATGTAATAATATATTTAATAAGATGTACTATTGTTATTGTTGAAATACGATTACATTACGATTATCTATTTATAATAATTATATGTTGGTATCGTAATTACATATATTATCTTTCCAATAGGTTTAAAATGAACAGAGGAAAGGATATTGCACCGAATTCGTCAACTGTAGTGCGCGAGTTTACAAAATGGATTGATGACATGGACTTTCAGTTGTTGACTGCTATGCTTCATGAGGCAAGGTTGGGTAATCGGGTTGATGGAAGTTGGACAACCCAAGCATATAATAATATAGTTGAATCCCTAAGACAGTCTGAATTAATTGGTATAACTAAAAATAATGTTAAAAATCGACAAAAAAAGTCTTAAGGATAGATGGCAGGAGGTCCACGATTTGTTTCATGGACTTAGTGGATTCGCTTGGGATGATATCACAAAACGGTTTATGGCTGAGCAAGAAGTATGGAATGACCTAATCAAGGTACTATTATATGAATTATCATTTGTTGATATAGCAAAACATAACAATTACGAGTGTTAACCATTCTCATTAATTTGTAGGCGAAACCTTTTGCAGCTAAATGGAAACTGTCAACTATAAGACATTATGATTTGATGGAAGAATTGTGGGGTGCTGATCGAGCCAGTGGACATATGGCAAGAACTTCGCGTCAGTCCCCAATGAATATCAGTTCTCGAAGGGCAACAGTCGACTTGAACGTTGATGTGGACCCCACACCAGAGGAGTAGCCATTTCACTTTGGCTTTGATGCAGGATTTGATACAACTTATCAATCACCTCCACGCATGGGTTCCGACAGTCCTGCTGAGGGTGCTTAGTCAATTCCATCTGTTGCGTCTACTGGTTCAGGTGGAACCTCTTCATCTCGGGGCACAAAAAGAAAAACGCTTATGGTTGATGTGATGGAAGGTCAATTTGACAAACTAACAATGAGCTGGACACATTTACAGATTACCTTGGGCAAGGTAATACATTGACCCAACGATTATCTGACATAGCTGAAAGACAGATGGTCGTCATTGAACGCATAAATGATTTAATTAATGAGCAAGTTAATGTGATGAGACGATCATCAACATTTCAACATTCCGAGTCAGATATATGGGACATGTTAGTCGGCATGAACCTAAATGACGAGCAACTTATGCTTCAGTGTTATAATCATTTGTGTACTCACGAATCACATGTTAGACGACTTTTTGGCTTGCCCTCACGTCTTCGTCTCTCCCAGTTGTTCATGTTCTTGGGTGGAAGTGATTGAATGATCTGAACTCGAGGACTTGGCTGCAAAGGATCGATAACACTATAATTATTTGTTTGAAGAACATTAGTGTGCATAGGTTTATAATTTTAGTAATGTTTGTCAAATATCTAATGTCCGTATTAATTAATATTATTTGATAATTAAAATTTATGACATGTAATTCTAATATATATATATATATATATATATATATTTATTTATTTATTTTATGTTGAAAATATAAAAATATGCCAAAAATATATATTAATATAATTTTTAACTAAATAATAAAATATTTTTACTATTAAGTTTACATGAATTTTTCATTTAATTATTATTCTATTTTCAATCGTATTTTATATTTATTTAAAATAATAATTTACAATTATATTATTAGTTTTCATAATTATTTGTTATTATTAGTCAATATTAATTATTATTTTATATTTTATAATTATTTAATTATTAGTCAAATAATTTATTTAATATGTCAAAATTATTTTTTTATGGATATGCAATGTACATAATTTTGTAATTGTTTATTTATATAATTTTTAATAACTATTTTAAAAAAAGTTAATTTTTTAAATTTGTTTCCACTTACAAACACTTTTAAATTTGTTTTTTCTTTTAAATATATAATCAATGTTAAAATATGGATAATTAATTAAAAAATTATATTTATAATAATTTGAACCTTATTTTATACACAAGGGTAAAATGGTAATTTTCTTAAATAATCAATTAAAATTATAATTTTTATATCTCATATCAATCAAATCACTCACAATTTTCCATAAACTTTTCTTTCACTTTCCATTCATCCAAACAACTTTAATTTCACCTCCATTTTTCTTCAAATTTCTCCTTTTCCACACTCTCATTTTCACTCTCTCAAATCACTCCAACCAAACAAAGCGTAAGTGTGGGAATAGACGGAAGGGACAGGTTTTGTCCTCTTTAATCCTTACCTCGCTCAACCCACCCTCATCTCATCTTGATGGTTAGTCTAATTTTTTAGGAAAATTGTCTTTCTACTATTTTTTTTAATATCATATTATTTATTTAGAATATTTATTGATATTTGGGTAAGTCTAATATAATTGTTTAGCATTAAGGATAATTTTTATATATTCTTCTTTTTTTTATTTATATATTTTTTAAAAGTAAAATCGTAATAAATTAGAGTTCTAAATCGGATAACATCCCGATCATGAAAATATATTATTATAACGAGATATAAGAATTGGTCCTAACGATATTATTATAATAAATATAAGACCGAGACTCTCGTTCCCAACAAATATTGACGTTCACTGTATGATTAAGAATAGAGTCTCGCTCTACTTACTTATGTTCCGATACATTCATAAGTCACACATTGTTTAGGAGTGAAAGCTAAAAATAGTTTATATACACTATCTTTTTTATTAACCTATTGAGACGTCTTTTAATAACAAAATCGTAGTAGACTAAAATTTTAAAACCAATAATATCTCATTCGTAATAATGGACCTGGACAATATTATCATAATGTTGAGATACTTTCATTTCTAATTGAACAATTAATATTATTGATAAATAATTTTTATTGTGAAATTTAATATTTTAGCAAAATTTATCTTTTCAACTATTTTTTTATATTCATACAACTTTAAACCAAGACATTACTCTTATCCTACTTTAACAAATTACGTAAAAATACACATTACCGATGAAGGTTAAGATCAAATTATAAATAAATACAATAAGTTTTACTTTTTATATTATTATTATTATTATTACTACTATTTATTTTTTGTAATTTAATAATATATTTCGAATGATTTTG